ATAAAGTGGAATCTACAGGCCTTCTTTTTTCAGTCACTTACTTATTCAATCACTCACCCCCCACACACCTCTTACTCTCACTCCAACACAAACACACACTGTCTTCAGTTACGTAATTATAGATTGGATGGCAGCTTCCTGTGACCCCTGTAGATTCCACTTTATACAACGACACATGCGCGAGTGAAGGAAGGAGGAGAGGTTTCAGTTACAGTTTCATAGCCTAGCTGTGACTTTTTCACCATTTGTGCTGAAGGGAGTGGTTTGAATTCAATTCAAACTATTTTAATAAGCAGTTAAATCAGTTCAGTTATTTATCAAACGGTTAGATATTGAGTCGACAGCCACTGTAGCTGCTCTGTGAGCTAAACTGAATGTCTGCACGCTAACAATGCTAACATGCTGATGTTTAGCAGGACATGTTCACCATCTAAAGACATGAACTCTGGACAAAGTGTGTGTGATCAGATCTGCACGTTTTCCCTTTCAAACGTGTAGCAGGCCGGACATGATGCGGACTACAACGTGGTCACGTAACCGGTTTGTAATTTGGTCATTTACACCTGGAGTCTCTTACATTCCTTTCAATTGTTTGACGATTTTGGCGTCTTTCCAGTCCTTCCAGTTACCTTTCTAAATGTCACATTTTTAAACTGGCGTCTCGGTCAATTTTGGACCTGATGTTAAAGGGAGCGATCAACAGTGATGGGTCACTCACACTAGAGTTGTCTAATGTGCCGTGTACTATCTCCTCAGCAGAGCTTGACCTTTGTGTGACTGGGTCACACTTTGTGTGGGTTGTTTCACTCTGGGTGTTCTTCAAGTTCCAAGATGTCAACGTCACAGATCTGCTCAGTTAAAAAGCCAGACGCCCGGCCACATGTAATAAAGATTAGAAAACACCAGGCACCACAGCACACAGGAGTCAAATCACCAAACAACTCCAATAACTTATTTAACGAAAAGCACCCGGATCTGTGCCGCTGAGTCATAAGCAGCACCGCCCACCATCTGGCAGTACATCACATGTTTGTCCATTTTGTCCCAGGTCACCATGGGGGATAAATGCTGACGCCACATAATATGTACACACACACACACCACACGCGCTCTTGTCCCCTGAGGTAGGAAATTTCCGCCCACTCCATACACATTATCTTCCCTGACCTCTGGCCTCCGGGGCTTGTGACCTCCCGGTTGGCCAGAGCTCCTTCTCTCTGCCGTCTGATTGGTCAGTTTGACCCTCTTTGTGTTCCAAGCTGTGCTCTTCTGGGAATGTTTTAGGTAAAGAGATCAGATGGAGATGGAGACCAAGAAGTGTGAAAAAGAGACTGTGCTAGAACAATAATGGAGAAAATCAAATGAATGGAACTACAGATTATTTTTAAAGGACTACATAAAGACAACTGGAGAGAGGCGGTGGCTTTATATTTTACCCTGCCTCCTTCCTCACTATGTATTGATAACACTCCCCTGATTCTTCCAGGATTGCCTCCCTGCTGTTCCCTCTCTGGGGGCCTGATTTATTTGACTCTTTAGCTGCCCACCTCAAATGGCCAGACGAAAGAGAAAAGAGCCCCGCTGCCGGGCTTTGTTCCTGCAGCGGTGCAGTGGGGGGTGGGTGGTATGCGTCTCAAGGGGGGAGGGGGTTGCAGATCATGACCTGTAGAGGTTTAGGTGACCTATGATCTCTGCGGCCGATATCACAAAGAAGGCCTTATCCCCCCTCCCCTTCGTCCCTGTGAGGTCCGGTTCAACCTGTGACCTTCCCGAAAATGCCAGAGGAAAAAGCCAGATAAAACACAGCAGGGGGGAGGGAGGGAGACAAAGAGAGAAATGGACATTTAGCCCAAATTGTGGGTTGTAAAAGCTCAAACCTTAAGTAAGCCATACAGTCGCTTTTCAGTGCCTGTAGGTATCAAGGCAATTAAGAAACTTGGTGTCCTCTTTCAATGTGCAGCTGGCCTGCTTATGTAACTCTATTCTGTGAGGCACCGGGTAAAAAGAGTATCTTCAGTACAGACAGTCTTAACTATTATATATGTGTGTATATATACATATATAACTTACCAAAAATCAGATCTTTGCATGTTGCTCTACAGGGCTGGGTATTGTTTTTTTTTATAATATAATGCCTGAGGATTGACACCAAAACAATATTTTTTTAAATACCTTACTTGAGGAAATCGAATCATATTTTAACCTTTTTTTTCCACATAACAAACGTGCCGAACTGCTCAGTGTTAGATAAAGAACTAAAATCAAATATAGTCTAAAGTCAGAATTGAATGACAACAGTGAACAATTAAGATAATTAAAGTTACTGTGAGGAGTTTAACTGGTAGTGAAACATCTCAATTTAACACTGATGCCTCTATAAGTAAACGAGTTCCTCGTAGTAGCTTTAAAATACAGATTTGCTTCAGATATTTTAACTAATCACTTCTATCAACACATTTCATAAGGTTCAACACTGCACAGCGCGAAAACTGCTTCAAATGTAGTGCTTATAAATGCCCGACTTCCAAACATCAGTACATGAGTAGTGGTTCAGCCCGGCAGGAAGTTGCTCCATTTTGTGCAGTTTGAAGTGACTTCCTATTCCTGACCCGTGTTTCCTTTTCCTCTCTAAATGAGACAGAAAAAGATCACAAACACTGAGCAGGTGTGGGAAGGAAGATGTCACCGTCGGTGTCCTTTTCCTGGTCCTCTGCATCCTGTTTCTGTGTCCCCTCTGAGTAATAAAACCGACAGCATTTAGACATTCCTGTCTGGTCATTTGGGACACTGCAGGGTGACATATAACCGTGCGTCGGGTATCTTTCTTCACTGTACACTGACGGGGTGTTTATGGTCACATCAGTGAGATCGCGTGCTTGTGTTTTTGTTTCCTCAGCTAAGCATGGAGAAGGTCCAGGCCATGGCAGAGCAGGTGGAGATCAAAGCCAAGGTGGTGCAGACGGAGGTGAAGGCCCTGGTGCTCCGACACAAGAAGGCGCTGGAGGAGAGGGAGTGTGAACTACTGTGGAAGGTGAGCTCCACCTTCATCTTCATCGGTGTCAAGTCCCACACCGGGCAGTGAACTGAATGCACTTGATGCAACTAATATCGTTATTGCGTATCTTCCTCACATCCTGCAGCCCTAAAAAATACCATACATTTACTATTCAAGATATGCAAAAAATACCATACATTTACTATTCAAGATATGCAAAAAATACCATACATTTACTATTCAAGATATACAAAAAATACCATACATTTACTATTCAAGATATGCAGACCATTACAAAAATCCACACAAAAGAAGACTCTGAATCCACGCTCATATTGCATTAGTTTAGCTCTGTATTTAAACTGAATCTCACGCTACATATGAGCAAACCTATTGTCCACAGGGAGAATAAGCGTGCATGCTTTCTACAGGACTGATTAATTTGTATTGTTAAAGCTAAACAAATCCGAGAAGCCAGTTGTTGAACTGGCAGTTTGGCCTGCAGCCTGCGCTTCAGGAATCCTCTGCAAGGGCCTCCCTGGTTTACGGTTACCCAGAGAGCCAGTGAAAGAAAGAGCCCCCTCATCCCTGAGGCCCCTCACCCCACCCGGCTATCCTTTAGTAATAAATGAGTAACCACATAAAAGAGGAGACTGTACTAGATGCGTGACATAGCTCTAATACACACGCACAATCTACATCCATAACATCTGAAACCAGATAATTAAATGTATATTCGTGCATTTATGTACAGATGTGTTGCTCAGGGTCTGACGGAACATAACCGATGATTTACCTCCAACACCCACCACTTCGACCAAACTCTCGTTTCTCCTCTCCTCCCGAGAGCCGGCTCGGTGACATTGTAAAAAGTGACCTGCGTCTTACTCCCTCAGATCTTACAGCTCTAGTGTGTGCAGGTCAGATTGTTCGTCAGACTTACCCGTGTTCCCCCGTTAATCCTTTTTTACACCACTGCAGGACTCACTCTTTATCCCCGACCTGATAGTCATTAGAGGCAACCGTAGCACCCCCCAACCTCCACACACACTGAGTTTCTGTCTTTCCTTTTGTTTCTTGCAAACTGACTGACACATGCTTTATGAGTGCAGATGCTTTGCCTGTACTCTCGTTGGAGTGTAGCTAAAGTGGTGACTTGAGAGAATGTAAATGTCGTTGACTATTGTTTGAAAGAAATGTCGTTGAGTATCCCAGTTGTACCCTCGGGCAGATGAAGGCTTGATGCAAAGCAGGACGGTGCTGACAGATTATAGTTTGGTGCTTGTAGAGCCGGTTGGAGGCGGTCTTACTGTTGGTTTACAACTTCTTTTGTGTGTGTGTGGTGGAGGGATGTATACCTGTTAAATAGGGCTGAAACAATTAGTCAGAAAAGCAATGAATTAGTCATTTACTTATTTATGTTTATCATGTTTGCTCACTGAGAAAGTTTGCTGTGGGCAGTTCTTGGTTTTGGCTCGACTCGAAACGTTTTCATTTTTACAGCGAAACCACTAAAATGTGTGACAATAAATATGTTGCAGTGTGACACAATCCTGGTTCATGTTTGATCAGCGCTGCCTCGTTTGACAGTTTGATCAGAGTTCTCAAGCTGTGACCGATAGCTGCGTTAGAGACTCCTCGGCTCTGATTGGTGTTTTGCAAATGCCATCAGGAGCAATAAAAAGGAGGCGGTGGAACCAGATTCTTTTCACAAATGATGAGTTTCATGTACTGCTATCAGGATATAGTGACAGCTTGAGCACATTGTAGTTACCAACTGCAGCTTTAACTCATTTGGCCTGTTGATCAAGCAGAACAAGTAGTTTGAAGAAGGCATGTTTGCCTCTGAGGAGTATTTTCAGACTGGAACTATCGATGAATCATTCCCCCCCCCCCCTAAAACAAAATCTAGAGTCCAGTGTGATCATGCCCCTTGTGCAATATAATTGTTTTTGGTCATTTCAGCACGTACAAGTTAAGCTGTACAACCGCTGAATCATACACAAAGTATTGGAAATGACTCCGCTAGTGCTCCCCGTACTGTGTGATGGCCGCCTGTGCTGACAGTGGCTCCAGGAAGCCGCTCCACAGTGACTCCTGTCTTGCTAGCAACGCGAGCTTTTAACTTATAAGAAGTCGTTTTGATCGAACGACATCAAAGTCTCTCTGGATTTTGCTCGGTGACTCTCTGTGAGACGCGTACCAACACTCCCAGTGAGTGGTTTCCACTGAGGGAGGAACTCAAACTAGATGTCATTAGGAAGCCTGACGTGTGTCTTTGTTCTCGTGACTATAAAGTGTAACTCGAGGGCTCACAGATGCAAATTGAAGTTCCACTTGTGCCAGGGATTAACAAAAGGACCCCTCACTTTAGGACTCTTTGTTTCTTTCATGGTTCCTCCCTTCTATCAGAAGTCCTTCTCACCATAGAGGCAGTCGGGCTATTGTGTTCTACTCTTTTTGTTAGGCGACGGTAAGTAAGAGCCCGATCCATGCCTCTCAGATTCTAGCGCCCTCTTTAAGGCTTTAATCTCACTGACTGCACTCACTCTAACTTTATCGGCTTCTCACGGTACCAGAAACGTGTCGTGGTTAAGTGACGGATAATACGATGAATAAATCAGTAATGCTATAGTATCTCTCTTCAGCTCTGTCAGCGCCAGACCAGGTATCTCTTTGACTAGTCTGCTCTGTCTGCAGCGGTGCACATTATCTTATTTTATTCTGTTGTTGTTCAAGAAGAAAGAAACTTAACACGCGTTAATAAATGATATCTGTGATGCAAAGTTGACTAAAAGAGCTTAGAGCTCATGAAATACAATAAGGATCGTAGTAATGATAACAATAATAATACTTTGTGTAGCACCTTCCATACAAGAAATGCATCATAAAGTGCTTAAAATAAAAAATAAATGAATAAACAGAATTAGAATAGAATGTCATAATTAATAGAAAACATTTTGTAAAATAAGACGAGATAAAAATAAGATGGAAGACATAGGATGCATGCCATGAGATGGAAAATAAAGCTAATAACTAAAAATGATAATATTTAAATCAGTACCCATATTTGCAGCATGTATACACATCAATAAACATCAGAAGGGTTCATTCCCTTCTACACAGTGGGGCAGATTTGAGTTTTAAAGATGAAATCTCACAATATTTCACCTTAAATTCAGTCTTTACCGATATCTAAAATTGTGCATAAATCTGTTTTTCAGCTGGAAAAGTAAATCCATATTCTCTGTGTTACATTCATGGAGTCCTTTTATTAAACGGAAATAAATGTGATGTTCGCCGCAGGAATCATTGATGCACTATTTCTCCTTCATGCCCGTCAACCTTAACATCAAATAACTTTTATATCTAAACTGTATGCAGCCAAACCAGCTGCTGCTTCTTCTTCTTCTTGCTTAATATGTGACAGACGTGGCTTTTCAACTCTTTGCTGCCATCCTGTGGGCCGTTTGCTGGTAAAAGTCTGTGGTGTGGAGGTACCAGGACACTCGTTTAATTCCACATTCAGTTTGACTTTTTTATGAGGTAATGAGGTAAAAAATACAAGTCAAAAAAAAGATGTAAATCTGGGTAACCATTGATGCCCGATCATAGTTTTAAATCCACCACAGAGTGCTCTTTGAAACCTTTTTTGTTGTTTTGTCGTGTTATTGTTTCTCTATATTGTTTATAGAGGTGAAGCCCCTCCCCTAACCCTACCTAGCATTGTGCCATGAACTACACACCTGATGTTCGTCAATGTAAAAGATAATTTTGCATGTCAGGAAAGTCACAGGTTGTTATTAGCCACGTGCATTTGTCTTGATGAGGCTACTCCAGCCAGCTGCAACCTTATTCAGGCTTTTGTAGTGAAATGATGAGGTGTACAGATAACTCCTCGTGACAACTTCACCAATCAGCCGTTCCTCGTTCACTTCTAAAGCGAGCGACGGGAGTAAATAGAAACGGGGCGTCTGATAGAAGTTCAGCTCAGAACGGCGCTGGTGGCCGGTTGGGACCTTCCAGTAGAAAACAATTAAACCGAACTGCAGCTGGCGTCGCATTCAGTGAGGACACGGTTACACCGTAAACTCATTAAGACTCAGCGAGTCTCATCCTCGAGAGAAACCTGATAAACGTCGGTGGCCACAGAGTGATGTTTCGTGGCCACGGGCCACAGTTAATGTTGACCCCTGACCTGTGCTGATTAAGCATATTTTACAACATAAAACATAAAAGTTATATGGTTGAATAAAGTGCCTCGGTCATGTGCTTTCTATTACGTTCGAACTATAAAATCCCCTCTGGTGGTGGTAAAACGTTCTGTGCTCTGGTCTCCTTCCAGGTGGAGAAGATCCGTAAGGTGAAGGCCAAGTCTCTGTACCTGCAGGTGGAGAAGCTGCACCAGAGTCTGACCAAGTTGGACAGCACCATCGCCGCCGTCAGCCAGGTGCTGGACGAGGGCCGCCACCTGGACGTGCTGCTAGCCAGGGAGCGAATGCTCACCCAAATGCACGAACTGAAGGCTCTGAGGGGCCTGCTGCAGGCGCAAGAGGACGACCGCTTCATGTTCACGCCTCCAGACCAGGTGGGTGCTTGGGACCCTGTAAATGCTGGATCATAAGTACGTTTGGATGGGTTTTAACGTGAAATCATTGCTATGTTTGCCGAGCCTGATGTTATATTATCGTGGTTCCCTACAGGCTCTGTACATAGCCGTCCAGTCCATGGGCCTCATCAGCAGCGGAGCCTTTGCCCCGGTCACCAAAGCCCACGGTGAGGGTCTAAAAACTGCTCTCCGCGGCAAGCCCGCCTCCTTCACCGTGATCGGATACGACCACGACGGCGAGCCACGACTCTCTGGCGGCGACGCGGTGTCCACGATAGTCATGTCAGTCCCGGATGGAAACCTGTCCGCAGCCGAGGTGACGGACCACCAGAACGGCTCCTACACCGTCGGCTACCTGCCCAAATGTGAGGGGGAGCACCTCGTGTCGGTGCTGGTGTGCAACCAGCACATCCAGGGCAGCCCCTTCAAGGTGACGGTGAAGTCGGGGCGGAGCTACGGCTCCCTGGGGAACCAGGTGTCGTCCTTCGGGTGCGAGGGGGAGGGAGACGGCCAGCTGTGTCGACCCTGGGGCATCAGCGTGGACAAGGAGGGATACGTGGTGGTGGCCGATCGCAGCAACAACCGCATACAGGTAGATCACCGTCACAAGTACGGGGAGTCGTCTGTCCCTATACCCTCACAGTAGTACATGCTGATTATATCCTGACAGTAGTACATGCTGATTATGTCACTGTACTGCATGTTTCTCACCTTTAAATGTTTGTATACATTTATTTTAGTGAACTGTTAAATGTAAAGTGAGAAAGTTTGCTCAGGCTGGTGGGCGGGGCTTGGCTTTGCTTTGATTGTTTTCAACATGGCGGATTTGGAGGGAGGGGGAGAGAGGAGGAGGGGGAGGGGGAGGTCTTCCCAAATCAAAAAAGGTCACAAACGTGAAACTAAACTCCTCGTCTCTGATTGTTGTTTTGGTTTCCAACAGTAGATTTTCCTGTCGGGATATTGTGACAGTTTGAGCAAATATGATAAAAAATCATTTATTTAGTAAAACCAACTGCAGCTTTAAATGTCAGTAACGCAAATGTAAAGAAGGAGATATAGAGCTCCCAAAGCGACTCTATCTCTTCTTCTTCTTCTTCTTCTTCTTCCTTTCTTTGTTCTCCCCTCAAAGTCTCGACTGAACTCCGATATCTGAACTGTAATTGTATTTAGAGTGGTCGTATACAGTTCATTTACTCACCAACTCCACACTGTTGATTTTTGTGTCGACATGTTTACATAGCAGAGAGTCTGCTTAGCAAACTTTGTGTTCGGATGTTGAAACACACACACACACACACACACCATCATTACTGTGATGTCTCATCACTAAAAGGTTGTTTCTCCGTATTTAGTAGAACAAATGGACTACATTTTAAGGGAAGGCCCTAAAAAACATACCGTTCACACGTGTTTAAGTGATTGTCATACGTGTGCTGTAGGTACATTAACGTGTTTGTAGAAGTCTGTAAAAACTACACGTGCAGGTTTAAAGAGAGAGCTTTACAGGATCGTTGGTTTCTTTTTCCTCCCCTCTTCAGATATTCAAGCCCTGCGGTGCCTTCCACCATAAGTTTGGCTCTCTGGGTTCTCGGCCGGGTCAGTTTGATCGTCCAGCGGGGGTTGCGTGTGACAGTCAGAGACGAATCATCGTGGCTGATAAGGACAATCACCGCGTGCAGGTATGAAAACCACACGCACATTTCTACGTACTCCTTCTGTATTATTGTTGAAATCCTGTCGTATTCACGTGTGGAATGCACGACAAAAAAACTGAAAAAGTGAGCTTAGTTAGCTTGTAAACACACACACACATAAACACATAGGTCCTCATGCGCACTCTCTCTGCTGCGGATGTAAACATGTTGGGCCCTAAGACATTTGCTTTGTCTGACAGGTGTTTACTTTTGAGGGCCAGTTCCTGCTGAAGTTTGGGGAGAAGGGTACCAAGAATGGGCAGTTCAACTATCCCTGGGACGTGGCCGTCAACTCTGAGGGTAAGATCCTGGTCTCGGACACCAGGAACCACCGCGTGCAGCTCTTCGGCCCCGACGGCTCTTTCCTCAACAAGTACGGCTTCGAGGGGGCCCTGTGGAAACACTTTGACTCTCCCAGAGGAGTGGCCTTTAACCACGAGGACCACCTGGTGGTGACCGACTTCAACAACCACAGGCTCCTGGTCATCCGGCCGGACTGCCAGTCGGCCCGCTTCCTGGGCTCTGAGGGCATCGGGAACGGGCAGTTTCTGCGGCCGCAGGGCGTCGCCGTGGACCAGGAGAACCGCATCATCGTGGCCGACTCCCGCAACCACCGGGTCCAAGTGTTCGAGCCCAACGGGAACTTCTTATGCAAATTCGGCGCACAGGGGAGTGGCTTCGGACAGATGGACCGCCCCTCCGGTGTGGCCGTGACGCCTGACGGAGTCATTGTGGTCGTTGATTTTGGAAATAATCGCATCCTCAAGTTCTAGCTTTTTCTTTTTTTGGCATTCTCTCCCTCCGTTTGCCCTTTTTGCAGTTTTCTTGAACAAGGAAATGGAGGCGAGAGAATGAATCAACAGACACAACAGGAGAGCTCAGAGAGGATTGAGAGCACGTTGAAGTGAAGGGAAATTAAAACTATTGATTTTTTGTTTTTTCATTTACATTGCTATATTCCCAATCAGATATCTGTGGTGTGTACGACAAAGGGGACCTCTAACACATTGATAATCAATAGATGAAGCCATGTTTCCCTTCCTCGGTCTCAGCTGCTCTGAATCCTCTCCGTGAGCTCTCCTTAGTTTTCCATCTCAGGGATTTTTTCACTTTTCTTGAAACCTTGTACCCTCTGCTCCACACCTACCTCATTTAGCTCTTTATGAATGTACTCATAGTCACTGAGCAGAGGTTTTAGTCCGTGAAGTTCTACAAAGAAGATGAAAAGCCTACCTCTATACTTTATTTAAAAGACAAAAAAAAAAGAAAAAAAGACTGTTGGTTGATATTTGCACAGGATTAAAGAAAATCTTGCTGTGCATTTTTTTTTTTTTTGAAATACGAGTTAAAGTGAACCTCCTGAATGTTGCTGAGACAACACTCAGACCGCTGTCGAGGCTGCATGATTTATTCTCACTAGAGGGCTTCGCTCACAGAGGAAACTAGGAGACACTTGTGTCCTTTTTCATGGTTTTTAGGCGAGTTAGTTTTTCCGCGTATGCATCGGCCCTTTGAAGAAGAGAGTGCGACCCCGATGCCGAATTAGATAAAATCAAAAGTATCTCAGGTCACGGTAGGACTGTTTCAAATGATCAGTGCTTTTCAGGCTCTCATTCGATAAACAAATCTCAGAAATGATCCTGAAAATAAGTCCTAGATAAGTAGTCCTGTAAGAAAAGACAACCCGTGTTGTTACTATGTCATAGATGCAAAGATAAAGTATGCAAGGAGAGCAGCGTCTCCTAAAGGGAGGACCCACCAAAGGATTTTGGTGTTGAATATTTCCCAGATCTGGATCTGTAAGCGATCCTCACGTAGATATTTAATCATTTTAATTGAGTGACACCTTTTTTGATGAGGCATGCTGTGTGACAAAAGCCTCACAAGTAGACACCTAAATTTGGCTGTCCAGAGGACATTAATGACATCAAGTTGAAGGCCTAACATTACAATCCTTTGGATTTTAGATGGTGGTTGAAAGCCACGCCCCTTTGGCTCCCAGGGCCAATGAGAGAGGCTGTGATGACAAAGCCCCGCCCTATTTATTGATGCTTGGAGTGAAGGAGACCGATTCCTCTAAAGACGGAGGTCTATAGACCAACTTCTGGAGTCAACCAAAGTTAGAATTTCTGCACAATGGCCAACTGTAGATTTGGCGATTTAAAGAAACTTAAATAATCATTGTTGCTGGGAAGTCTAAAGTTCATCAAACGCACGGAGTTGAGTTCATAGCACTGTCCGTGTTAGGCTAAGAAGAATAAAGTGTGCTTGGGTCACAGTTTATTGTGCTCTGACCTGTTTCATCTGCAGAGATGTTCACGTGTAGAGAACTGAAGATACCCGCACCAAAGAGCCCCCCCCCCCCCCACCTCAGCCCATCAAACGACGCCATTAGACGACCCGTAGGCCTTTGTTTCCCAATTTAATTACCATAGACACGACTAACGCTCTGTGGGGTTTTAAACCTCCCCTTTGCCCCTTTTTGTTCAATCTGTGTCCCACTGGAAGCACTCGACAATTATGGTTCTGTCAGCTACTTCCTTCGCCTAGGACCTGTGAAACGATTCACCGACGGGCCCTCGCCTCTGAGGAGAGATCCCGTCTGCACACGATCAGGATTCACGTCGTCGTATCTCAAGATGTCTCGTACCTCAGCGGTCGTTTTACCTCATCTCCTGAATACCTTGAGTATGTCACTCATAGCTACTGTGCATTTGAACGTTCAAATACCTCAACTTGTTACACATTCTGAATACCTCATTTTTACTCTTTTTATTTAAGCATACCTTGTCGGATATTTATGCATTAATATACCTCGTTCTTTGAATCGTCTTGTGTTACAGTACATGTCCCATAGCTCGAGGACCAAAGATCATGGTACTGTCTGGAGTGGAAGTAACGTTTGTTTTTTACTGTGGTCATCGCTTCATCTCGCAGCTTTTTGGTTTGTTGAATCTACTGTAAAGTGTCTGGTAAACTCTGCCTTTTATCGTCAAGAAACCAAAACATTTCAGATGAAAGCATTGTGCCAAAAAAAATGATCTGTGAGAGTTTTGTGCCAAACAGGGTTGGCATCAGGGCCGCGCTGTTGTAGACGACACATGTCACTGGACCATTATATCACGGCTCTCTGTCTCTCTGTCTCTCTCTCTCTCTCTCTCTCTCTCTCTCTCTCTCTCTCTGGTTGATGCACTTAAGAGGGCTGGGCCCAATTTATCTTAACCTCATAATGATGATGAACAAGCAAAATTCCACTTGTACTTTGCAACTGTGTGCAAAGGGTGAGGGCAAGAGAGGATGTGGCCTCTTCTAAAGAGATAAAAACTTCACGAATCCGCCTTCTCAATGCACAAGAATTACCTCCTTGATTTCAGCACAAAGTTACCGATGTTTCATTTGTTGATGTTGGCTATTGGCAGACCTCGAGACGCAACCATTCTGCGGCAGGTTTAAACAAAACGCACCGTAGGGATCACGCCCGATGCGTGACAGCAGTGTGGTTTACTATTACAGTGGAGCTATTGGCACATTGATGGCGACCCAACACCTAGTTTCACCAATAAGATTGTCTTTTGCTTTTCAGTATTACTCTGAAACGTTTCATCCATGTTGCATCTGTTTTTTTGTTGATTATTAAAATTGCAGAATTCTATCTTTAAGATCCGTAGGTCTTCACTCTTAAAGAGGAAACGAAATGTGTTTTTTTTTTTTTTTTTTTTTTTTTTTTTAATTTTTGTTGCATGCTTTAAAAAGTCCTTTGTATTATATTGACGTCTCTCAGATAGGTGTTGAGAAAAAACTCAGATGGGGTGGGTCGCGGTCGTTTGGGATGGTTTTACCAAAATATTTACCCAAAGGTGCGTGTGCGTGCGTGTGCGTGTGTGTGTGTGTGTGTGTTAGGATTGCGTCGGATTGGGATTAACCGTTGACCTTTGCGATTGTATTTCCTGTTCTCGAGAGGCTCAACCTGTTCAGCCAGCCAACGCCTCGACTCCTGACAAACAGCGGCAGATCTTGTCAGATACAAGCTGGTGTGCCCCTCTATCATTGGTGCTTAATTTACTTAATCTCCCTCTAGTGTACGTAATGTGGGAAGCCACATTAACATATAGTTTAGGAGGCTCTGAAAGCTTCCTATTGAGTAGATTGACCTTCCCAACTAGTCCGTGAGGTGGTGATGTTATGTTTGATCTAGCAATGGGAACTCCCCAGCTGTCGTGTGAGGAGCAGCGATGTGTCTCCAGCACAGACCGGTAATCGGCTTCCTCCCCCATCTTTATAAGAAACCAGGGAGTGCGGTGACGGTTGACAGCACTCCTGCTCGCTGGGTTGTTTTTTTATTGCTGACCTCTCACGGCTTTAAGAGAGAAAAGCAAAGCTGCGCCAGGTGACGCGTGCAAGGTCGTAGGTCGTTTTTAAGGATCGTGTACTCTAAAGACGGAAAGACAAAAATAAGAAAAAGGTTGGAAAATTTAGAAGGAAAAAAAAAAAAACTCAGGTAGTTCTCAGCAGCCCTGCCCTGCAGGTGTCTCATTGAAACGTGTCTCGTAGTGATGATGTAGTGTTCCCCCCCCTCTTAGTACTAGTCAAATTATTTTGTGTGCCCATTTACTTATTATAAAACAAATTATTTCTAAATCTGAAACAATAATGCTTTCGATTAGTTTCCCCTAATTAAAAAAAAAATAAAAATTTTTGTTGCCAATTTTAGTTTTCTTTTACAAATAAAAAGTACAAATACTTCACACCACTTGATGTCCATTGGCCCTTTTAGAATGTATTTTGTGAAGAAAAGGGTTCAATGGCATCATGTTGACGTTCAGTCGCTGCAACCAGCTGCCGGCAGCAGCATGACGAGACACAACACACTCCGTTTTATCTCTGGACATTTTGGTGCTAGATGTTCCACACCAGCAACACTTTGAGTATGAGGTGGAATCATGTGGTTGTAGTGGAACACGCTGCACCGCGCTCCTTTTCTAAACCAGCTTTAACGTCGGCCTTTCCCCGGGTGTTTTGGGGCCCGACAGTCCAGCTCGTCCCATCCTCTTTTTGTTTGTGTTGTGTCCTGTTCCCCCGGCGGCCGGTTGTGTGCGGAGTGGATATTGTGTTTGTGCGCTGCATCTGTTGTTGTTTTAAGCAGAAATCCACTGAATGTATCCTCTGAACAGTCCAGGAGGCAGGGCGAGCCAGTGTGGCAGAGGAGACTATAATATATTGGCCACCTGCTGCTCTCTCTGTACTCTGTGGACTTTAAGCATTTCCTATGCAGTTTCTTTTTTTTTTTTTTTGGCTTACACTTCAATAAAGTTGTATTTCTTTGACTTCAAAACCTGTGACTCGTTCTTTGCTCTTTAAACTGCACCAACACTAAAGTCTAGATGACAGAATATCTCACTGAAGGTTTTCAATGATGAAGTACACCGCGTCTTCACAGTACACCGCGTCTTCACAGTACACTGCGTCTTCACAGTACACCGCGTCTTCACAGTACACCGCGTCTTCACAGTACACAGCGTCTTCACAGTACACAGCGTCTTCACAGTACACCGCGTCTTCACAGTACACCGCGTCTTCACAGCGTCTTCACAGCACACAGCGTCTTCACAGTACACAGCGTCTTCACAGCGTCTTCACAGTACACCGCGTCTTCACAGTACACCGCGTCTTCACACCGCGTCTTCACAGTACACCGCGTCTTCACAGTACACCGCGTCTTCACAGTACACCGCGTCTTCACAGTACACAGCGTCTTCACAGTACACAGCGTCTTCACAGTACACCGCGTCTTCACAGTACACAGCGTCTTCACCGCGTCTTCACAGTACACCGCGTCTTCACAGTACACCGCGTCTTCACAGCGTCTTCACAGTACACCGCGTCTTCACAGTACACCGCGTCTTCACAGTACACCGCGTCTTCACAGTACACAGCGTCTTCACAGTACACCACAGTACCCAGCGTCTTCACAGTACACAGCGTCTTCACAGTACACAGCGTCTTAACCATTTAACAAGATATAACCATCAGTTGCCACTTAAAAATTGACATCGAAATTTATAGATAAAATATAAGATATAATAAAATTATAGATTGTTTGCAAAATTCAGAAAGCCTAAAAATATCTGATCCATAATGTTTATAGATGTTTACAATTGATTTCTTAAAGGTTTACAACTAGAATAACTTAGTATTAATGCTATAATGTATGTTATTCTAATTAGTAAACATGATCATTTCATTGTTTGTGAACAGTAAAATAACTATTAACCGTAGTTTAGTTAACATCAATTAACAATTTATAATAAAATTATTTTTCTTTTGCACAGTGTTGGTTCACATGATTAACGGGTAATGGCTTCACCTGCTCAAGGCAGGGAAACAAACACCTTGTGTGATGACATAGTGAGTCTGAAACTGGTTTGGACAGTCACTGGTTTCACTGGGGGAGGAAGAGAGCACCACTCGCATCATAAATGACTGACACATAATATGCTTTACTGCGAGTAGTAATATCTTACACTCATTCACAAAATACAACCACATTAGAAGCTGAGGCAACAATGAAGAAAACAGTTTGGTGGAACAAGTACTTTTTGTCCTCTTGTCTTTTTGCTTTGCCTTTTGATTTTTTTAGGTAAAGTATCATTTTCAAACACTTGGAGATTAAGTTTCCAGCGGAACAATGAATTGAGGTCTGGTGTCCATGAGTCGGTAGACCTCAACCCCCAATGTTGGGAACACTGGGAATGGAACAAAAACACATAAAACAGTAACGTCACAAGACACTCCGGGGTGAACTAGAGTGCAAACTGTAATTCTAATAAACCATTCTTGACTTGCAGCATCCGAATGTATAAACTATCCTACAGAGATGGTTTTCTTCTGTTATAACATGGATTTATGTTTGACTCTCTAAAGGACTGAACAAAAACATATGACCTCATATAGTCTACACATGGCCCAGTGCATCATGGGTTGTCGTCCCCCTCTAGTGGAGACGACAGCACGGAAACAAGACTTTATTTCTTTATACAAACAAACAAGGCATCTTTACATGTCTCATTCATCAGGAAACATTCTGCCTCAAGTTGAGCAAGATCAAAATCAAATAGAAAAATATAAATACATAAATTAATAAAATGCAAACATAAACAGGGCTTTATCGAATTACCTCCAAGATATCAAGTAATAAAAACAACTTCAGAGCATTCTTGTCTTTAAGGACTCACAGCAGCCATTTTGACCAGCGCAGGTGAGCTTTATTTATGTTCTCACCTGTGCTTTGCCCACTGTGACGTGTGAAAATTCAAAATGTGTCAGTGGAAAAACACCACGTTTGTTTTTTGTGTATTCGAACAATGACCTGCCTTTACTGAGCAACTAACGACCATTTTCATAGCAGACCTTTTGGCTTGTCAAGCACAGGTGTGATTAATCACATTAACGACGGCTCCATTCTATTACGTGTCATAGCGAGCCATGTCAGTGAGTGAGCATGCACACTACCAGAACCCAATGCAGCTCATCCTTAATATTATCAAAGAGAAGGAGTGTACTAGTGCAGAAGTGTGAAGTTAATGTCTGTTATATGCTTATTGTTTTAGGGATTCTGAGCATATGTGTGATTGTCTGTCCTGTTTTTCTGTCACATTAAGCCACCATGTTGGTAATAAGTGCAGCTTTACGTGTCCTCCCTTGGCTTGTTTTGTCTTCTAGATCAAATGAACTCACTCCCAGTTAGATTAATACTGACAAGAAGTCCAGAGAACACACGTTTCCCCACAGAGGGAGCGATAAAGTGCGTCACAATCTGACTCTGTTGTAGTTCCCTGCCTCCACAGCTTGATGTCAGCAGCGTTGCGTTTCAGATTCACCCTGGAAGCAACACTGTGGGATAATGTTACAGAGGATTTGTGGTACAGTATATCAATGAATGATGTGACTGGGTGAGAATGAGAGCCGTGTGAAATGTACAGTGGAGTGTCTGGTCTGTGTGAAGTGAATCGTTCTCAGAAACTAGAGAGGAGGTTGGAGGCAGGTGAGACACGTGTCTGATTTGCACTGAGACGTGTCGTGAACTGCAGGTTTGCAAAAATTACAATGACGAGACACGACTGATCAAACACAACAGCAGGCTGGTGGGACCTGAAACGCCCCCCCAACCCCTGAGCATTGAGCTGAGAAAGCAGGAGCAGAGGAGCACCTGTATGTGCGAGCCCCCAGCAGATGGCTGGGAGGTCCTGGGTTGGTGTGTGTGTGTTTGCGCGTGGATGTCGGCATGTGTACGAATGGCTGAACGTGGCTCTCAGAGGAGCCAATTAGCTGTAGCAGACTGAGAAGGAGCCACAGAGATCCAGATTGTTTCGCTTTGGTGGCGGCACAAACCCGGCTGCTTAGCCAGAGTCAGCCGAGAGCATCGGTCACCTTTACTCACCACAGAGCTCCATCACATGTTCATAGTTTGACTCTACTCATTTGTTTGCACTGAGAAGACATTAAAAGGCCCAGAGGTTATGGAGTCTCACAGTGCTCAATATGAAATCAATTTAAAACATTGTGGAAACTTGCATATGTTGAAGCCGACATGGTAAACTTGTAAGAAAGCTTATTTACACATCCAGACGTTACAGAGCAACATTATTCTTTCAGAGATGTGTTTGTGTTTGCACCTGGTGACCAGAAGTCCAATATTCACTCTTCTTTCAGCTCCGTCTTTGGTCTCCGCCAACTCGTGGGGGAAATTGAGTCACCATCAGTTTTTGAGACATCTTTGACCCGTAGACTTAGTGATTCCCACTACAGGTGTGTTTGAGACTAACTGAGTACATTACGTCCTCTGGACTAACATTTCCTTTGGAGCAGGTCAGAACGTACGACACCGGGCCTTGATGGTTGTCTTACTGAGATACCGAGGCGTGGGCGGATTTGACCGCCCCCCCTCCTGTACCGAGCAGAGCGAGCAGCTGAAGTAGTCTTGACGTCGTGGTGATGTAGAGAGCGTGACGTAGTCGAGACCCCTTCAGAGTTGAGGAGGTGTCGGGGAGGAGGAAAAGAGAAGAGAAGAGGGTAGATGTGTGGCAGCAGCAGAGAGAGGAACACAGAAAGACAGAGACATTGATTTTCTCTTGTATTTCACACAAAGACTTTTGTGTGAAATACAAGAGAAGCCTATTGACTTCAACGACCAATCAAGACATGTTTGCACTCCGTCTCATCATGGAGACGACCAGGAAGCAACTTGAGATAACGAGACGTTTCACCCTGAAAAAATAACTTGATACACAAAGTGAAAACATTAAAAACAGCTTTTGGTTAGTGGATGTTTTGGATTTGGGAAAATCTATTCGTCCGTTCGTATTTTTGTAATTTTACTTCACATAACAATAGTTTCATACGTCATACACACTTTTCTTTTCTGCACCAACGAAAATTATACTCAATGACAGTAATAGACTGAACTTGAAAAGATGATGGCCACTTTTCTGCCGAGGCAGATCGAGGTGACCCCTTCAATCATACTTTGGCTCATTTTCCTCCAAGAGACGGGAGCTCTGGGTTATGGTGTTTTGGTGAACCCCTTTACAGAAGACGGGACAGATGAGATTGGATGACACTGCCCAGCGAACATTCTTCCGTTTAAAGACGTTAAAAAGACGTTCAAAATTGGTTCAAAAGTGAACGTTTTTTCAACGACTATTTGAAGACGTTGAATGAACGTTCACGTTTAGAGCAGATTTCAACGGGATTTGCAATACTACAATTGTTCGTCTACATTGTGCTAATAATAATATATCATCATTTTAGAGGCTTACTAAAGAAACAGAAGACCATGTATTAATAAAACAAACATTTGAAAGAAATACTCACTTGTGGACTAGTTTTGAATGTCTTTTCAATGGAAAGATGATCACTTGGATAATATAATTTGTTATATTGTTTGTATATTGCTGTATGCCAAACAACAATGTTTTGACCGTCTTCTTATTTGTACATCACTTTGTTTTACTCACTTCCTCCCCATTTAAACTGTGTATAGCCCAGTTTCTGTTGTGTATTTTACATGTAAAATGTCCTAAAAACTCAATTTTATAACGTTAGGCTACAGCAACAGCCCATAAAGACAGTCTCCAACATTAACTTACAGACACGTTTATGTTTACTGTTGGCCCATGCTGCTGTAGCTACAAGCTGACAGCCTCACCTTCATCATTAGCAGCATTCAATGATACTAAATGGTGCTAATTCCGGTTTGCATTATTGGATTTCAGTAGTTACAAAGTGTGTCGTTAGTTAGCGTGAAGCCTCACCTTTATTCCGTCAGCCCATTCA